TTTGGAGTTTATAATTTTGAATTTGTGATTTTCAATGGATTATTGTAATATTTTAATTTTGAATTTGTGATTTTCAATAGATTATTTTAATTTTGGAGTTTGAAATATGAAGTTTACAATTTTAATTTTGTTAATAAGTGTCAAGTGGGGGGTATTTGTAAGTTTTTAAGAGTTTTTTTGTCATTTAAAAAACTTTGGGGGGGGGGGGGATAATTAATTTTACAGGGTACCCAGAACCGGAACCGGAGGTTCCGGTTCCGGTTCCTGTTCCGGTTCCAAAAGTTAAGGAACCGTCGGTTCCGGTTCCGATTCCTTCCAAAAGTGTAGGGTACCCATAACCGAACACCCCTAACTATAACCACCCTTGCTGTTCTAGGAATATAACTAAACAATTGAGGAGGACTTCGACCATAGACAATCTTGAAAGGAGTTTTTTGAACAATGGAATGCCAACTAGTGTTATAACAATATTCCACCTAAGATAACTAACGTAACCAATCCTTTGGTCAAGAGCTGGTGAAGCAATGAAGATACATTTCGAATGTTCGATTAACAACTTCACTTTGGTCGTCCGTTTGTGGATGATAGCTAGAGCTGAAATTGAATGAAGTACCATTTAAACGAAACAACTCCTTCCAAAATGCTCCTGTAAATGTTGGATCATGCTCGCAAACTATCGACTTAGGAAGCCCATGTAGCTTGAATACATTGTCAAAAAATAATCAAGCTACTCCAACTGCTGTGCAAGGTGGGAAAGTGGTACAAAATGTGCATATTTTGACAATCTGTCAACAATGATAAAGATAGATGTTTTACCATTTGATTGTGGCAAGCAGTCAACAAAATCCATTGAAATATCTTCTCATATTTGGGTTGGAATAGGGAGAGGTTGTAGGAGTCCAGCATGTGCTAGATGTTCCACCTTGTGAAGTTGGCAAATGTCACAGTAGCAGATGAAGTCCTTGATTTGCCTCCTCATTGGTTGCTAATAAAAATTGGATTTAATCCTCTGGAGTGTCTTCACATAGCCCTCATGTGTGCTGCCATGAAATTCATTGATAATAGAGGAAGTTAGCTTAGAATCAGGAGGAAGATATATGCGCCCTTTAAACAAAATAATCTCATCAACCATACACCATGGACCTAATGCTTCCCCTTGCTGAATTCATTCTTGTAAGACTTGGAGTGTAGTGTTAGCACCAACTTCCTCCTTTATTGCCTCCAACCAATGGGGTATTAATTGAGTGAATGCATATAAGCTACCACAATTTTCTTGTACCTCATGTCTCCTTGAAAGAGCATCAGCTAGTATATTTTCACCTTCTTTCTTGTATTCTACCTTGAAGTCATACCCTATTAACTTGTAGAACCAGCGTTGTTGGGCACTTGTTGTTATCTTTTGAGACCACAAATGCTTCAAACTCTGGTGGTCAATATGAACAATGAATTGCCTTCCTAAAAGATAGGGCCGCCATTTTTGAACTGCAAGTACTAATGCCAAAATTTCTTTTTCGTAAGTTGAAAGAAGAAGATTCTTTCCATAGAGAGCTTGACTGAAATAAGCAATGGGGCATTCCTACAACAAAATAGCACCAACTCCAATCCCGGAGGCATCACACTCAACAATGAATGGTTTAGAAAAATCAGGAAGAGCTAATACCATAGCTTTAGTCATTGCAAGCTTGAGTTTTTGAAAAGGCTTCCTTGGCTACCACACTCCATTCAAGAGAGTCTTTCTTTGGCCAAGTCACACTACTAGTAACCTTATTTTCTGGTTTATTGGTGCCTCTCAAAGTAACTTCTTTGGAGCCCCAAAAAAACTTCATTTGTAGTTTCTTGAAGTCCTATTGGATTGGTCCCAATGTCCTTAGTCATTGTGTACCTAGCACACATCATACCCTTCAAAAGGCAATATAAAAAATTCATTTGAAAATCTAACCTTTTGGAGTTTCATTTGCACCTGAGTGCATTTCCCAGGACTTGCTAATCTCTCCCCCGATGCCACCAATACTTCCAATCTTCCATTAGAGTCAGGATATAGTTGTACTTGTTGAGCTATTCGCAAACTTATGAAGTTGTGAGTACTGCCTAAGTCGATTAAAACCATCACTGAATGACCTTTAAGACTTCCCTATAACCTAATTGTCCTTGGTGCTTGAACTCTTGACATTGCATGAAGTGATGTGGCTAGAGCTGCATCAACAATTTCATCTTCGACTTCAATTATCACGTCATCATCTTCCTCGTCCCAACATGCCTAAATTCGAAAGAGCTTTAGGCAATTGTGTCATGGGTTGTATTTGTCGTTACAATGGAAGCACAATCCCTGCCTTCGGCGTTCCACAAGTTCAACCGGCATCATCCTCTTGGTTGTTGTATTTGTTGTATTACATTCTTGAGGCCCTATAGCAGCTCGTGTTGGGTTCACTGGTCGAGCAATTGGAAGAACATATCTCTTATGTGGGAGCTCGCAACTTTCATATAACTTTGCCAATCCCACCACCATGGTTAGTGTAGAAGGCCTATTTGCTTGCACGTCGGTTTGAATGCTGTCTTTCAAGCCTGTGATGAAACAACTGACTTTCCTAGATTGAGAGAAATATCAACTTTGGCCAATGTTCTTTCAAATGTGCTTTGGTATTCAATTACTAAGCTAGTTTGCCGCAATTTGATAAGTTCACTAAACGGGTCTTCGAACTGATTTTGACCAAAACAAGAGAAGAACCCATTTCTAAAATTCTCCCAAGTCACATAAAGGATTTCCTGTTCCAATGTTTGGAACCACAGTTGGGCATCACCCTCCAAGTAAAATGATGATAGCGCCATTTTGTCTGATTCAGCAATATCATGAAGCGAAAAATATTTCTCTGCTTGACTCATCCAAGTAACCGGGTCGTCTCGACCGTCATACTGAGGGAAATCAAGCTTTATGGTTCTTGGAATGAAATTCGTGCTAGAGCTTCCTCCCTTAGAAGAACGTCCACCCATTTTAACACTAGAACCTTCACTGGTTTCATTAAAGTTCTTGCCATATAATTATTGGCTCATCTTCTCCATTTGCTCAGTAACATGTTTGAGAAGATCATTTTGTCCATCAGAGAGAGATTTAAGGCCTTCTTCCAACTTCTTCACCTGCTCTTGCAAATCCATAGCCAGGCTCTGATACCAAAGATGATACACTCACTTTTGCTAAATAAACAATTAAGAAAAAAATAAGTTTCTTGACACTTTGAGTGGTCAAGGCCTCCTAATACAACAGTAAGTTGCATATTTTTTTATATTCGATACATTTATTCCATAATAAAAAATCATTTAAATACAAGTCAAAAGCCAAACTAACTAAGCAAAAATAGGGAATAATGTTAATAACTCAAACGTAAACTTAAACAAGAAAAACTAAAATGAATGAACTAATTCCATGTTCAAAACAGAATGACATGATCAATGTGGACTTGATATTTTGATAAGTTTCAACGTAACCATGTAACAGTTTCTTTCTTCTCTTTTCATCTTATATTTCTATTTTTCTTTATCTTTTTTTCTCCTCCTCCTCTTCTCCCCTTATTTTACTTTAAAAAAAAAAAAAAAAAAATACAACTATTTAGGACATTGCAACTAGCCAAATCTTGAGGGCTAACTTTGGCCACCAAGGTCTATTTGCGAGACCATTGATTTGATTAATCTTGCCAAATCACACCGGCACAAGTAGATAATCTCGTTTAGTCTTTTTTTCATTTGTTAAATTATTTATTTATTTATTTATTTATTTATTTATTGGATTCAAGTTAAATAAACTTTATTTTATGATTTATTTGATATCTTTGATTATTTTTGGTAAGAGGGAAAAAATATGAATTTACTTTTGGGTGAGAAATTTGATGAATGGACTTATGGACTTAATATTAAATTTGCGTTAATAAGTATTTGATGATAAGTTTTGTTGGTAAGTAGGAAAGTATAAGAAAATGGATTAATTTAGTTTAAGGTGAGAAAAGTTTGAAGAATATTGAATGAAGTTTTGGTGAGAGAAAAGAATGGAAAAGGAAATAAAAATATTGTTTAAATTAAGAAAATTGATATATTAAAATATTTATATCAGTATTAATTGGTAAAGATACTAAGTAAATGATTAAATGAAAAAAAAAAAAAAAAAATTGTTAGTGTTATTTGGATAAAAAATACATATGATAAGGTGAAAATGTTATTTTATAACTTGTAGATTTTCTTCAACGGACGCTACCGGTATGGGATTATCCTTGCATTTTAAATGGTGACGGGTGGTATAGTAAATTGCAGAAATTGTGGGGGGTTTATTTCAATGTTCTAAAACCCAGATCGGACGGGGCGGTCGAATTAGTCTGACCAGGTTTCGGTGAGATCATCGATTCAAAGAGGGTAAAAAACCAAGATTTGGCATTGGACCGCTTTAAACCGCTATTGGACCATACTGTATCAAACCGCCAGTCCAACCGGCCCAACACCCAAATTCGGTCCACTAACAAAACCCTAAACTAAACCAAATTTTTTTAACCCTTTTTTTTTTTTTTTTTTTGCGATTGTATTTGCTTTTTGCCTCCTCCTCCATTCGCGATCTCCTTCAGCTTCAAGTCTTCAGGTCTTCAAGTCTTCAACCTCTTCAATCGCCGTTGTCACCATCTAAAGGTCTGCTTCTTCCTTGCCGTGGCAGGTTTGCTACAAATTTGTGACTTCAACTTCAGCCTTCACATCTATCATTATTGTCACCGTCTGTGAGCTGCCGTCTGTCGTCGACCAAGTAACAAACTGTAAGAGTCATCCTATCTTTCTCTTTCTTCTATTTCATATCATGATATTGTATTATTGTGATGTGAATCTGTTAATTGAATTTCTAAAACTCTAAAAAGTAATTTCTCATGGGAACAAATGTAAGTTTAGGTGGTGGTTTAACATCTAAAAACTTGAAATGATTACTCGGCAATATATATATATAAATAAAGAGACATCGGTAGATAATAAGCATACTATGTTCCAACTATCCTCCTAGTCTGAACTGCATTCTGATTTTCACCAAAAATCCTTGCCATACCAAAATCTGAAATCTTGGCAATCATCTCTTTGTCCAGCAATACATTGCTTGGCTTTAGATCCCGGTGAATGATATTAAGCCTAGAATCTTCATGAAGGTAAAGAAGTCCTCTAGCAATTCCACCAATAATATTGTAGCACCTCTTCCAATCAAGTTGTGATCGTCTCTCAGAATCTGAAATTTATACCAAATAAGGAAATAATTAAGTACCTGTAACAAAGTTTAAGTACTTATAAACAGGGGCGGATCCAGCATACTTGAGAGTAGGCCTGGGCTTACCCTGAAATTTTGCCAATATTTATAATTAATGATTTTTATATAAAAAAGGTACCATACATATGTATGGCCCACAATCAAACTAAAAGCTAATATGGTAATGGCGTAATGCAGAGGCTCACCCATCATAAATATTGCGGGACCCACTAGTTATTAATATATATACGGCGAATCTCTATAAAATCACAATTTTTGTATCCCTAATTTTATTTAGGGAGTGCGCCTCTCTTTCTCTTTGTCTTATTGGTTCGGTTGAAGTTATAACTTTTGAAGACTATTTTTTGCTTTATCAATTTTAGGTATGTATATTACTTATTTTAATTTAGTTTATTCTAGGGTTAAATCATATTTGTTTTTATGGAAGTTTTTTATTCTGATGAAAAAAATTATAAATCTTGTGAGTTTGTTTTGTATTTGTTTGATTTTGTAATTGGTTGAATATTAATTTGTGACTTTAGATATCACAAATAATTTATAAAATTAATTTTTTATATAATTAGAGGACAGCTTGATTTGCACCAATCATTAATATATTAATAATGATATTTTTATTATTTTAGAATGTGATTAGTTGACTAAGTATGCTCTAATAGTAATTAAATTAAATCTAGTTGATCTATGCCAATAATTTAAATAAGTCAAAAAATTCATTAGCAAATTATATAAGTTTTTAAATATAAGAAAATTAACACAATAAAATGATTAATTAATTGCTAAAATAATATTTTAATTAGATCTAATTGTTACATCTAAAAACATGATAAGTCAGTCCTTCTAATTTTATTAATTAAAGTTTTATCGGTCTTTCTTTGCATGTATCATATTATCTTTTTTTTTTATTTGATAGTTATGATATCCAATTATTTCAAGATATTAAAGAAAATTCCAGCAGATTTGTTGGTGGAGACTCTATTGATATTGAGGTTAATCAAATCTCATTAGAAGAAGAAGCCCCACATCAGCAACAACAACACCTAGTAAAAGAAGCTCAACCTTCGATTGGGATGTTCAATTTAGATGAGCCTGAAACTGATCCAGGATTGAGGATACCAATTAACGAGATTTGTTGTACTGACAAGCAAATGGAGGAAGTTCGAAGAGCATACTTGTTGAAAGGTCCTTGCCAACCTAAAGATCATAACTTTCATTTCACTCTTTTCGGAGATAAAAAGCGTAGGTTTACACCAGAGTGGTACAAAGAAGGTTCAAGTTGGATGGAATATAGTGTGGCAAAAGATTGCATCTTTTGCTTAAATTGTTATCTTTTCAAAACTGATTATGGTGACCAAGCAGGTGGTGAAGTTTTTGTGAGCAAAGGATTTAATAATTGGAAAGATNCAACTATAAACATCAATTCAATTATTGTATGATCAGTGATGCAATTATTAAGTTGTAGACTGTTATTAAATCTAAAAATTTATCCTTAATTGCTTGGTTCCACAGCAGGTGGTTTATGCCAAATTTTTGCTTGTTTGATGCTTGTATGCCATGATTTAGTTTACAACTTTGGTATAAAGCCTAAATGAATATAGGAGCAGAAGTCATTAAGTTCAATCACTTACATTGCATGTATCGTACTATCTTTTTTCATTTGGCAACTACTATATCCAATTATTTCAAAAGATTAAAGAAAAGTCCAACTAAAATTGTTGATGGAGACACTATTGATATTAAGGTTAATCAAATCCCATTAAAAGAAGAAGCTCCATAACAACAACAACACCACCAAGTAAAAAAAGCTCAACCTTCGATTGGGGTGTTCAATTTAGATGAGCTTGAAACTAATCTAGGATTATGGATATTAGTTAACAAGATTTGTTGTACCTATAAGCAAAAGGAGGAAGTTCGAAGAGCATACTTGCTGAATGGTCCTTGCAACCTAAAGGTCATAACTTTCCTTTTACTCTTTTCAGAGATAAAAAACATAGGTTTACAGCAGAGTGATACAAAGAAGGTTCAAGTTGGATGGAATATAGTGTGGCAAAAGATGCAATCTTTTGTTTGAATTGTTATATTTTCAAACCTGATTATGGTGTTCAAGTAGGTGGTGACGTTTCTTTGAGTAAGGGATTTAATAATTGGAAAGATAAAGCAAAAGTGAAAAAATATGTTGGAGATCATTCTAGTACTCAAAACCAATGTCATGCCAAGTGTGTTGATTTGATGAACCAAAGGCAACACATTGATGTAAATCTTGCTTGAGTGTCGAAAAAGGCCAAATTGGACTATCACATTTGCTTGAATGCATCAATTGATTGCATTAGATTTTTTTTTTTCTTTTTTATCAAGGATTGGCATTTCATGGTCATGATAAGTCGGTTGAATCTGAAAATCAAGGTAACTTTATTAAACTATTGAAGTTTCTATTTAATCACAATAATAACATAAAGAAAGTTGTTCTGGAAAATGCTCCAAAAAACCATCAAATGACGGCCCCCAAAATCCAAAGGGAACTAAATATTGTTTGTGCTCATTTGACGATCAAGAAAATTATTGTAGAAATTGTGAGAGATAAACAACCGTTCTCTTTGCTAGTTGATAAATCTCGTGATATGGCAGTGAAAGAACACATGACTATTGTTTTACATTACGTGAATAAAATAAGTTGTGTTATTGAACGTTTTATTGGGGTTATGCATATTAAAAATACTTCTACAAAGTCTTTGAAAATTGCAATAGATTCATTTTTTGTAAAGCATGGATTGGGTTTAACAAGTTTACGGGGGCAAGGTTACAACGAAGCAAGCAAGATGAGGGGTGAGTTCAATAGTTTGAAGACTTTGATATTGAGAGAAAATAAATCTGCTTTCTCCATTCATTGTTTCTCTCATCAACTCCAACTGGTGCTAATCAAATTTGTAAGTAACCATTTGGCACTGGGTGAATTTTTTCAATCTCTTTTTATGTTATCAAACACTGTAGCAACATCTTGTAAGTACAAAGATCTTTTACATGGTAAACAATATGAATATTTGTTATCTTTGATTTCTAATGGTGATCTTTAGACGGGACGAGGTTTGAATCAAGAATGCACTATTAAACAACAAGGAGATACACGTTGGGGTTCACACATAGGGATAACTCATAATGTCATAAACTTATTTTCTTCTGTTGTTGATGTGCTCAGGGTGATTGAGATTGAAGGAGACAATTGACAAAACAAAATTCAAACAAGGAGTTTGTTACGAATCATGGAGAATTTTGAATTCGTCTTTTAGTTATTTTTAATGAAAAAATTATTGGGAATCACAAATGAACTATCACAAGCATTACAAGAAAAGATCAGGACCTTCTTAATGTCATGCAGTTTGTATAAATTTTAAAACGTCGATTGCATAAAATGATAACTAAAGACATTTGCTTCGACATAGTGTTAAAAGAAGCTTCTAATATATGCAAAGATAATGACACACCAATCCCGGAGAACATCGAAGATAACTTTGGGAGGACAAAACGGGGGATTGTGCCAATTATGAATAAACATCATTTTAAGGTAGAATTGATGTATACAGTTTTAGATAACATTCAAGAAGAATTCAATATCATTTTGATGAAGTAAATATGATGTTGCTTCACTGTATGAATCTCTTGATCCAAGTAACTCTTTTGCTGCATTTAACAAAGATAGATAACTTGAATTTGCAAAGTTCTATCCTGTTGATTTTCCTCAACACGATATTTGATTGCTCGATGATCAACTTGAAAACTATTATGAGGATGTTAACACCAAAGCCAATTTCACTCATATCGAAGAGATTATCGACCTTGCTAAAAAATGGTTGAGTTTAAGAAGGATGTTGCTTATGACAAGGTTTTCTTGCTTATTAAATTAGCATTGGTTTTGCTCGTGGCTACTGCAATAATTGAAAGGGTGTTCTTAGCAATGAATCTTGTTAAGAATAGTTTGTGTAATTGAATGGCAAACGAGAGGATGAACAATTGATTGGTAGTTTACATAGAAAGAGAAGTTTTTGCTACAATTCAAAATGAAGATATTATTGAACATTTTCAAAATGCATCAAAGCGGAAAATAGTGTTAAATTGAAGATCTTCAGGTATACCATTCTAACTTGCTTTCATCTTTAAATAATCAATATTCATATATTCGGATCTTCAAGTATACATTCTAACTTGATTTTTTGTTCTGTAAGCAGAGAATGCATGGATCTTTAATCTAGATAGTTGAGTTTTGATTTTAACGGTTGGATTTGGAGTTATACAACTTGAGGTTTGACTGCTTCTTTGGTGATTTTAATCCATCTCTTTATAAACCTTTATGTATTTTACTTGTGTTAGAGTCGTGATTGAACTCTAAATTTGTGTGGAATATTTTTGGTGGATTGTGGTTGCTGTAAACTCTTTAGATTATATTAGATTTAAATGGATCGTTAGATTCCCGTGGTTTTTTGCTCTCTTCACATTCAAGCGGTTTTTCCACGTCAAAATTTTCTTGCATTTCTTTATGAATTGGATGTGATTTTCAACACATTTGCTCAAGGTATAGCTACTCATAGAATTCAAGTAAGAAAGTATTATGTTATTGCATTATTTCCTTTTAGCTTCCTGATATTATATTATTTCCTTTACTCAAGGTTTGGTAGTTTTTTAAAAGTTTTTACTAGTTGACTGGCAAATAATGGCAGAGCCACGGAGGTCCCCCTAGGCAAAAATCCTAGGTCTGCCACTACTTGCAGGTCATCACAATGAATTTTATCTTCCTCAGGGGTCTCAGGAGCGGATTCTTGAGTTTAACTGCTTATCTAAGGTTAGACCCGACGTGAGAAAACTCATCACGCTTGAGAATTTGATCAAGTTCGGATTCTGTCCTCCTACCGCAAGCTCTAATACAATCTTTGAGAAGAGAAGGAAAGCAAGTAAGTATCCCTTTCGTCGTCATTTCATTTGCTCAGCTTTTCCTTTAATTAGCTGAAGGTTGCCCGATGCTTCTCAAAGATGTTCGCTACCAAAACCAAAGCGCCAATAGGAGAAAAACACTACTTCTGAGACATCGGATCCGAGGAAGCAGGATTTTGGAAACAAGATTCGAGGAGACAAGATCCAAATAAGAATGATCCAACAAAGAATCAAAGGTAGGCAACTTTAGAAAAAGATTCAAAAAACAGAAGAAAGATTAGAAAACGCTAAGCTCCCTTGCGACCTCGGAAAGGACTTGCGAGATTTGGACCGTCGAAGAATTAAGGAGAATGCCGCGGAGCTTGTCAATCAAAGGAAGGTTAGAGTGGACGATTTACTGCCATTCATTCAGTAGGAGGCTGCTGTGCGAGCCAGTTCTTCAAAGGTTAAGGGTTTTAGCAAGCAGTTGGATGAGAAACTTATGAAATTGTTTGCTTGCATTTCCATGAGGGCTTTGATATTAAATGAGATGATCTTGAGGATGTCTTTGAGGATCTCAGGAAACTGCCTCCTTACCAAAAGTTGCAGCAAGGAACCGATATGCTCTTTAAGGCAAACTTTGATCGTCTTCCTTTTAGCTATTCCTTTATTTATTTATTTTTTTTTTACCTCAGCTTGATGATATTTTAACGCCTTGGATGCAGAGCTTGAACGTTTTCTCACTGCTTGTCCAAGAAAGTGGTGTAACCCTTGAGTGATCTAATAAGATTAACGAGAAGATGGAGACGATCAAGAAATCTTCAAACGAGAAGATTTCTAAAATGAAAGAGGAGCTAGCCATTGTGAAGGTAAAGCTTGCTAAGGAGATTGAGTCTTCAAAGGTCCAACTGGCTGAGAATGAAAAAGAATTTGCTAAACAGCTTTAAGAGGAGGAGAATTTGAAAAATTAGCTTGTGGCAGATAGAGATAAACAGATGCTCTTGAACTCCAGACTCCTTAAGAAAAATGAGGCTTTAAAGGCTGATTTGGATTCAGGCAAGGTGGAGTTATTTTCAACTCACGAAAAACTGTCGAGTTGGAAAATGAGGTCGCCTAGCTAAAGAAGCAACTTGAAGAAGAGAAGGAGTTGGGCGAGGAAAAAGCTTGGAACATGTTGGTGAACCTGGTGGAGCTTATGTGACGATGGAATCCCGACCTTGACTTTTCATTTTTTCCATAAGACTATCAAGACCATAAGTCTTCAAGTTATAGTGATGATCGTCTTTCTCAATTCAAGTGATTTCGAGGATTCCATCTCAAGACGACGTCGAGTTATAGCAAGGGGCCTTTCTCGAGTCTTTGTCTTTGAGGTATATTTGAATCCTCCTCGAGGTGTCGATGTCGATTTAGGACTAAGTGAGTAGCCTTGTTCGAGTCGTCTATCATTGAGTTATGAAGGATGCCCCGGAAGCTTAAGTTTTGGTGATGTTGTGCTCCTAAGGATCAAGTCACTAAATTACAACCGGATTGCCTTCTCAACCTAATGACTTCGAGTTTTGCAACGTCTTCTTCATCTTCGGACTAAAGATCCGAGCTACAGCGTAGTTGATTTTTCCAACACATGACCATGCAAGGATTTTATAATGTATTAATAAGACACTTATGCACATTTTACAACAAATTAAAAATGAGCTACAGACAACTTGTAATCAATTCTCGTGAATTAAAAATCACAATTGATATAGGCTGAACTTGGCCTTTACAAATAAGGACCGAAAAAATAAAAAATTTACATGATAAAATTTACCAGACTTGGTTGGCTTGAACACAAAGAGATTCTTGCAGGTGTTCGTCATGGTCTTGTCAGTCTCCACGAGCTCGTGTTTTGTCCACAAATTCCTTCAAGCGACCTCTTCAAATGAGGTCTTCTATGACATCTTTTAGGGATTGGCACTCATTTGTGTCATGATTGACATCCTTGTAATATCGACGATATTTCTAGGAATCTCTCCTACTGCATTGCCCTCTTAATTTCTCTAATCGAGGTAATTGCCTCGCCTTGCTTGACACTACGAAGATTTCTTCAAGAAGAGCAACCAAATAAGTATAATCGCTTAATCGAGGAAGTGGCTCGCAGTCACTTCTCGATTTTGTTCGCTGTTTCCTTGAGAAATGATGTCTATCCCTGTTTTCTCGCTCTTGACCATCCTTCCTCTTTTCTCCAGGTTCATCTTCATTGTGAATAGAAGTGTTACTTGAGGCTCCACCATTTAACACAACCATCGAGTTCTCTAATTGTTGATATTTAACGGCCATTTGGTATAAACGAGCTAGACTTACTTGATTCTCGCCTTGCAAATCCTTCCACAGATCACTCTGTGATCTTACCCCGACAATAAGGAGTGTTCGGATTGACTATTCTCGCGCATTTGCAACTTTTCTTTGCACTCTTTTCTTACTGGATGTTACTAAGGTAACTCAAGGGCATTGCAAACTGCCTTCTCGCTTAGAATTGCTAGAGGTAGAGCGCATCAAATTGCTGCCATGAATGAACTGAGCCCGCTGAAAGCCTTTTATACCACCTTTTCGCTTATTCAATCAAGGTGACCGCGAAGCAGTGGTACTTTGCAAGGTCAAAGACCTAATGTAATTCCATTAGGTCGTTGAAGGTGTCAAGATGAACTCAAAAATAACTTTTACCATCCAACTTGATGTCTGACGATTTGAAGCCTAATGGTAGGGGTGCACGGTGCAGTTCTTTTGAGAATGGGATTTGACAGCTCCGGTAACCTGGTCGTCTTGATGAGCTCTATGGTCATCAAGTATTCTTTGTACCTAATCTAACTAATCGTTCACCTGGGGATTTCACACCAGGCCTAAGTTGGACCCCTGTGCAGTGAGGTGAGTCCAAAGATTGGTTCTCCGTGAATCCAGATAAGTGCGGAGATCTAAAACCCATCCTTTCTGTCCATTTTTATCAGGCATGCTGGCCTGCAAGGATGAACTATAGTTACTCAGACAATAGGTATTATCTAAGGTTTCCCGATGTGGATGTAATCGGCACATCAGTTTTGGGCATTTAAATGACGCGAAGTACGCCCCTAGCATGGGTTCAAACCGACATGCTGGGCTTGACCGTTTGCTTGCTCAGGGTGAGCAACTTCTTGGCGCCCTTCTCTCTTACCCATTAGCTACTTTCCTAGGCATCTGCCTGAGTTATTTTGATCTTGAGCCTCATGCCTTTGTGCTCCACCAACTCTTCGCCGCCGATGGTGGCACTCACTGGACGAACTAAAGACGTTGTTAGCAATTCCAAACTCCTAGCCTTACATTCTTGCAGCGACGTTTTGCTGGCTATGAGCCTGGTTTCCTTGCTAGACTTTTGTCATTTTAGCCATCTCTTGCTACAAGGTTTGGAATGCACTGGTGAGCGACCCCAACATGTTCATCATCTGGGCATTCTCTGGGTTGGATGACATTAGTGCCCCCTGTTGGGATTAACGGTGGAACAATTGGTGGGCGAGTCTGCATGGTCCTTTGGTTAACCTCCTAGTGGTCGGGCTCATCATCACTAGTCTGATTTGCTCCAATTGGACTTTTGGTTGCTCTGGTACGTGTCATGGCTGTTTTGCGTGATTAACGAATAAGATTGACAAGGGAAAGACGACCTTCCTTCTAGCACCAAAATGTTGTGATGAAATCTCGCAACAACCACAGATTTCCAATTGACCATGATGGAATCAAATAAGATATGGGCGTGATTAATTAAAATCAGCAAAGATACAGTGAAACAATAAAAACACGACTCCATTTTTAAGTAGTTCAGCAAGTTCGATCATGCCTACGTCCATTATTATTTTATTGATAGATTTGAGTGACAATTGCAAGCAACGATCTTGTCTTTGACTTACAATTATCCCATTTTCTCTTTGAAATTGTTAACTCTTTTACAATGACTTTGAGGGGGTTTATATATTGCTAAATTGATAATAGTTACAAGAGAGATTCTCAGGATATTGGTTTGATCTTGGGAGGTTAATCTCATGATCTTTGGTATAGTTATTATGCCGAAATTGTAGGGAGTCAATCTCGTAATATTTTTATACTATAGTACGGGGTAAAGGGGATAGATCTCAAACTTTAGGGACGTAAGCAACTCCTCAGAACTTGTGGGGCTGCGCCTGCGATTCAGGTGACATCGACTTTAATTATACTTGTTAACTCCGTTCTTTGATCACGAGAAATAAAAGACAAACGTGGCTAAAAGCCCCAAAACACCCTACCCGCGTAATCCAGAAACACTACTTTCTTATCTGCCACGTGTCCACTATTTTCCTTTTCCGCTTCAAATTAACTCGCTCTTTTGGTTTTGAGTGTTGACTGAGACTCACCTTCCTCCCTACTACCAACCCAACTCCCACCACTATATATATCCACTCAGCCGCAAATTCATTCCTCAATCAACACAAAGATAAAATCCTCAGCAACAGCAAACACACAATATAACATCCAACAGCCACCAAACAAAGAAAAATAAAAATAAAAATTCCAACAATGGTGAAATCCACAAGCAAGAAACCTGCAAGGACAAGTGACTCTATTTACAAGGGTGTCCGCAAGCGAAAGTGGGGCAAATGGGTTTCAGAAATCAGACTACCAAACAGCCGCCAAAGAATTTGGTTGGGATCCTACGACACCCCTGAAAAAGCCGCTCGTGCTTTCGACGCTGCACTTTTTTGCTTACGTGGCTGCTCTGCCAAGTTTAATTTTCCCGACAATCAACCAGACATAGAAGGTGGCCGCTCGCTTAGTCCTCCCCAAATTCAAGCCGCTGCGGCAAGGTTCGCAAATTCCGAGCCTTCAAGTTCAAGAACTCAATCTTCGGAACAGTCTGTGTCCGATTTACAAACGGAATATTCTTCTCCGTCTATTTCAGACTTAGACAGTGGTGGTGCCTTTGACTGCTCCTTCTTGGATTTTTTATCTACCACGAATTCCAGTAATTACGTGCCGGATCTTGGGGTTTTTTCTCAGTTTGATGATCTGTCTGGTGATATTTTTGCAGCAGCACCTTCGACCGTTGATTATGGAGACCAAATTAATTTTGATGGGATTTTAGTGGATGATTCATTTCTTTGGAATTTCTAACTCTAGGTGATTAGTTAAGTCAGAGTTCTGGAAATTTTTAGATTCTGGAGGTGCTGATTGGTACAGATATACCATTTTTTTCACGGTCTTCTTCTTTTAATCGAGTGAAATATGAACTTGAATTGGGGGAGAAGATTGTAAAATGAATAACTTGTACTTCTTTTTGCACGTGGTGAATTGAATTGAGTTATTTTTTTTTAATCAATGCAAGGTATTTGCCACATGTAACTCGTTGTTTTAATTGTGGATGAGTATATATTTTGCACGTTGTGTAAAGCCTTCTTCGTTGCTCCTTCAGTGCCTGCATCCGTATCAAAATAAAGCAGTAGTTCAATTATTTATGCTAACATTCGTTTTATTTGGAAATCAAAACCAAATTCATTTCTGTTTTACTATATATTTATCAATTTTTAATCGTAAATTCCATTGAAATCTAGTTTAAATTCATAGAGTTTCATTAACTAAGCAACTATCTTTATATATATTTTTGGGTCGAATTCTGATTAGTAAATGCAACTAAGTCGAAGTTAACTTTCAAGTAAGGAATTATTTTGTGTCCAGTAGTGTGAGTTCTGAAATTGGATTTTATTTAAATTATGGAAGTCAGATTAAAGCATATAATTATTTTTTTTTTGTAAAAAATCATAAAATTATATGTACAACTAAAAAAAGTTATTTTGAAGATATTATTAATTAATCAATTATTAAAATAATAAGTTGAAAAGTGGAACCGAAGGACTATGGTTGAATTTAAGTGGATTAATGGATTGGATGAGGTCATCCATGACGTAGTTTTAAGAGCAATTAAGAGTAGTGAGAGAACCCGTTTTTGGAAATTTTGGGCGAGCTGACGCGTAATTTATGAATAGTTTAATCAGGCTGACGTTACTGTGGATGACGCATCAGTCCTTTGTTAACTACCAAACCTAAATTAATAAACATACCTAGCTCTGCTCGCCCGTGTTGATATGCCAAATGCCAACTGCAATATCCTTCTCCGCTTATCATCTTAATTCTTAGCCCACATCAGGCTCTTCATTTCCTATTTCATATCAATATTATTATTCATACAAACACATCTGACCAAGATTTGTATATAATAATGTATCAAAAAATAAATGAAAAAGTTATTACAAAATTGTTGCAATATTATTCTATAAAGATATTTTGTTTGTAAAATTTTGGCTAAATGAAATAAAATGTCAAATGTAGGAAAAGGTAGATAATATCCTGTTTCTTGAATTAAGTAAATTTTGGATTCTCGAAAGGTTTGTGGATCAATATTTAACAATTTTCAATTAAATAACTTTTTTTTATCCAAATAATGATTTAATTACACTCTTCCGTTCATAGACTTTTAAAATACTATTTTATTATCCAAATTTATATTTCGTTTTCAATTTCGACATCGTTACGATCTTATACCACAATCATTCTTTTTTTCGATCATTACTCACCAAAACCCTTCAAATACTACTTTCGTCAACCTTATCAATTGCTGATAATCAAACAATTAGAGTTTACGTAGTCGTCTCTCCCAAGTCAAATTTTGATTAATCCCAACCATCTAAATTCAATCTTCTACCATCAAAAAATTCATTAGCCTTCTCTATTCAAAAGTTTCAACAGTCTAAATAGAATTTGTTTTCTATTAACTGCAGGAATATACATTTTAGTAATAAAACGATAACACGTACTACGCTGACGTGTATCTAAAAAGCGGAAATAATACATGGATCGTCAAGATTTTGCCGACAGAAATTAACGAAGAATATTTAAAAGCAGTCTTGACTATTATGTCATATGTAATAAACATACGTAAAATGTAATAAGTTGTTTTAAATATGGGAGACATATGAGACCCATGTCATATTTTTTTTATTTTCTTTAAATTATGTGTTATTTTTTCTTAAGCTAAAGTCAATTCATATGTGTTTGTGATTGATATTATATTTTGTAAAGTTTATCGTGAAAATGTCATTAAATTATTATTTTGGTAAAAAAAAAAAAAATCAGTAACTCAACAATTTTCATTAAAAAGAAAAATGCATTCAGTTATCATTTTGTCGGGCATGGAGTAAAGCAGCTTTAAGTATGTCTTTGTCATAAAAAAATATTTCCGGAGTAATTATTTTTATTCTTTAAAAAATAAAATAAAAGAAAACGTGCTACAACACTCCCCCCGCGTAATCCAGAAACACAACTTTCTATACTCCCCTTGACTCTTTAACTGCTTTTAAATCAACGCGCCTGTTGAGTGTTGACCACTCGCAATTGACTCTCTAGTAGACTAGTATCAAGTATCAACCCACTCCCCTTCACAAAACATACATATATATACTCACACACCTCCAGATAAATCCCATCCTCATAGTCAGCAAGACAAACTCAACACCAAAATTTTATTTGATCCTCAACTGCAAAGTCAAAATCAAACCTTATAACAATCAAATCAGACATGGTCAAACACACACCTGAAAAACCCGCTCAAAGATCCGACTCTCGTTACAAAGGTGTTCGAAAACGAAAATGGGGCAAATGGGTGTCCGAAATCAGACTCCCCAACAGCCGCGAACGAATTTGGTTAGGATCCTACGACACCGCTGAAAAAGCCGCACGTGCTTTCGACGCCGCACTTTTTTGTTTACGCGGCCATTCAGGTAAGTTCAATTTTCCCGACAATCCACCGGACATAGCCGGTGGACGGTCACTTAGTCCGTCCGAGATTCAATCTGTTGCAGCTAGGTTTGCGAATTCGGAGCGTCCAGAAAGCCACCGGTCGGAACTTCAAATGGAGTATTCGTCTCCCTCAGTCTCAGAAGGAACGGTGCAGTTGGATGGTGATGGGGTTTTTGACGGATCTTTTTTGGATCTTTTAACGACGTCGGGTTCAAGTAATTACACTTCGGGTTATGGGATATTTCCCGGATTTGATGACCTTTCTAATGATATTTTTGTACCACCACAGCCAACCGTTGATTATGGAGAACAAAACTTTGATGGGATTTTAGTTGATGATTCATTTCTTTGGAACTTTTAGGTGATTAGTTTACCGATATCAGAATTCTGGACATTTTTAGAATCTGGAGTTACTGAGGTTTTAAATTCGGGTACAGATTATCATATTTTTTTATTTGGTCATCCATCAGATTCGTATATATTTTTTTTACGAGTCTACAGTTCAGTTCACCAAAAAAATTGTACATTGTATGCTTGCAATTTTTTACATATTGTATGCTTGCAATTTTTTACATGTAATGAATTGAATGGATTTTCCGTATTACTTCATTTCTATAGGTTGAAATTATATGGCCACGTGGAGAAATACCCCTCTTTCTATGTTTGTTCCTTTTACATCATGTGGGCTGCAACACCCGCAGATCAAACATTCTTTTGTAAATGAATATTAAAAAACATTATAAATGAGTTGAATTATTTATGACTAACTGAGATTTGTTTAACTTAATTAACTATTTAGGCAGAACTTACCAAAACCAAACCGATCTTTGTACTTCGTCACTGTAGGAGTGGAAACTTTGATTATTTGGAAAAAAAAAAAAAAAAAAACCTAAAATCCAGTGAATAGAATATAATGCCATCCAGCCAATTAGCATCTAATATGAATATCTTCTACATATTTTTATATTTGAAAACCAAACAAATGTGATAAATTTTAGATAAATTTTAATGAAACAACATAAAATTTAAAAGTGAATGATACTGGTTTAATTTACTGGTGAGGGGACCTACATGCAATCTAGCAAGGCACATGCCCCTTGACTTAAGGGTATGTTTGGTGCACAATATGGTAAATTACAGTAACTTATAGTATTTTATAGCATAATATTATACGAAATATAGTAAAATGTTTGTAGCATCAATGTATCATATTAATTTATTTTTAGTTTTTCAATTACATTTTTGACGGGAATTCATTAAAATTTAATAATTCATCTAAAAATTTAATTGTTTTTACTATTAACTTAATTAGTATCGATAAATAAATAAAATTACAAAAAAATTATTGATAAAAAAATCATTTCTTAGCTTTAAGAATAATAATTTTTTTTTTTTTTTGCTATGTTATTTTAAATCTGTTGTGTATGATTTTTCCATCAAGCTCGGAGAGTTGCAAGGTAATAGCTCAACCCAGAATCAGTACGACTCTATTGATTGTCCGACCCAGATAAGCTCATCGAGATTTAGCTCGACCCAGCATAAGCTAGTCGCAAACAATCCAAGTGATCATTCAATCAATTCCCAGATAACTTCTGATCCCATATATCTCGGGAATGATAAGATTGACAGCAATCTTTGCGCAATCACAACGCCCAATCGCGAGAATATCAGAGTCGTATTTCAATTTAATTATAATCCCTTTAATTTCGCTCTTTCCTTTGTACAAGCTTTGTATATAAACCCCCTCAAATGATGAGGAAATGGTTGGAAAATACTCCTAGAATTACTACTATAAGCTCACACAACAAATACAAAGAACAGTGGACGTAGGCTTAAGAGTTCATCTCGCCGAACCACTTTAAAATCCTTTTTTGCCATTTACATTACTGCATTCATTATTCATTCATTGCTGGTTATCTGTAATTATGCACACATCAGTTCCGATCCTGCCAAGGTCGATCAGATCACTTTAATTGGTGCAAATTTCTGTATCAACATTTTGGCTCTAGAAGAAGGGCTTTCGCCAACATATCAGAAATTCCGGCAAACAACCACAGCGATCTAACTATTTCAGGCCCATGATGGTGTGTATAAGATCAAAAATCACCGTCGGAAACCACGACGATGTGGAGACCACCCATTAGGAGGTGCAACAGGACGTTGCTGGGCATCGACCACCATTGCCGCCATCTCAGCATGCCACGAATAATCAAGGGGCAGGAACATCAAACCCCGAAAACAAATAGTTGATGGAAATGATCAGGACTATGGTTGCACAAGCGGTGCAACAAAATGTGGCTAAGCTGAGAAATCAGCAACCAACTACCCAAACCCTTGACCAGCCACGCTTTATTGATCCCACCCTGCTGGGTTGGACTTCAGCCGGGGACTAGTTTGGCTCATCGGCGCCAAGGGGTGACTGACACCCCCAACGTCAAAGGGTGCACTTTGCCCACGAGCGTGAGTCTCGCAGACAAACTAACCTTGAGAGGCGGTCGGGGAAACAACTAGTGGGTAAAAACGAAGGTAATGGTCGCCCACGAGACGCTCGACTTTCCTAGTGGAATCCTCAACATCATCGTGTCCGTTTTAACCCACACTCAAGACAAGCTTCATCCTCACAAGCTCGCAAGATGAGTAATGTGCACCAATCTGGCAATGATTGACGTTCTAGTTATAACCTATGTCGTGAGCAACGCATTGACGAGCATGATAACACTTATCAATCGAGCCATCATGACTCAACCTCACGCATCAATATGTGCAATGGAGGGGGTTCACAAGCGACAGATTTGCGAACTCACTTACTCGAGGTAAAGTTGAACAGAGCCAGCCAGGGTAATCACAATAAAGACTTGGACCGCATGAAGAAAATGCTCGACGATCTAAAGGCCTGCCAGAACGGTGTGGCGGAAGAAATAACGAGTTCTCCCTTCACAAAGGAGGTTTGCTAGGCCCTACTTCCATAGGGATTTAAGGCATTAAAGAGTAAGTTCGATAGGAGAGAAGACCTCAGAAACCACCTCGACAATTTCAATGACCTGATGGAGTTGCACCAGGTCTGTGACCTAGCAAAATGCCGCTGCTTCGTGGTAACATTAGTAGGAGATGCCAAGAGGTGGTACAAAAGACTCAAGGCGAACTCCATCAGTTGTTAGCAACAGTTCCCCTCGCTGTACTTGCAGCAATTCCAGGCGAGGAGACAGTTTGCGATGCCACTCAACTACTTGAGCAATATTCATTAGGAGAGAGACGAAACCCTAACCTTGTATTTAACGAGGTTCCAGAACAAGCAAGCAAAGGTCGCGGATGCACCATCTGGACTTTGTTGATTGCAGGCATCAAGCCGAACACGGAGCTATGGAAAGAGCTCCAAAGTGAAGACCAAGTAAGCTTGACCAAGTTTTACCAGATGGCTGCAAAATACCAGCGAGTTGAAAGCTCGAAATGAGGAGCCCCGAACAGGCAACAAGATCACCCATTAGACAAGCGCATAGGCCAAGACCGCAATAATAGGGACCACAATAGTTCCCAAAAAAGACAGAGAAAAGATAACCGCAAGGACAGACAACCCTTCCTGTGGTATGCAGAATATACCCCCCTCATGCAAGACATAGCCTACATCTACGAAGTCTCTTGTGAGGCAAAGAAATTGCCTGCTCTAGAAAAGATTAGGGGGGCTCCGGGCAGAAGAGATCGACAAAAATATTATCGATACCACTGAGACATCGGGCACAACACCAATGAGTGTCGGGCTTTGAAAAAGGCCATCGAAGACCTAATACAAAGGGGTTACCTAAAGGAATTTGTCAAGGGGCACCGGCCTGTGAAAGTATTGGCAAGTAAAACAACCAGGTCCAGCAAGCCCAGGCATGATGGCATGATCTACAGGGGGCCTGACATAGTGAACAACTCAAGGCGCGCTCGCAAGTAATATGCTCGAGAGGCTAGAACAGATTCGGTCCCACAGATAATGAGCTATGAACAGAAGTCACCGAAACGACCCAGATAAGAGAGCGAGGTGATAGGGTTCACAATCGAAGAATGCGAAGAATTCTCTCGCCATAATCATGATGCGATCGTAATTGTAGCTAGAATTGGTAATGCTAGAGTACTGAGGGTGATGGTTAATAATGAGAGTGTAACGAATATCATTTTCTTAAGAGCTTTCCAAGGAATAAGATTCACGGAGAGATACCTAAGGGCATGCCCTTCGCCGCTTTATGGATTTACTGGGGACAACTTGGTTCCCAAGGGGACAATTGACCTCCTCGTAACTCTGGGGGCAGAGCCCAAAATCAAGAAGGCGACGACTGAATTCCTAGTGGTAGATTGCCGGACCACATACAATGTCATCCTCTAAAGACCGATTTTGGATTATCTGAGCGTAACCACTTTAGTGTGCTGCCAAGTAATGAGGTTCCAAACTCTTGGGGGAGTCGCGACGATCAAAAGCTGTAGAAAGGAATCTTGGGAATGTTACAAGTGGGCTATAAATACTACACAAAAATGGATGCTCCCAAGGACAATGGTTATTACAGAATTTGAGCCGAATCTTGGACCTCTCGAGGATATCATAGATCTTCACATCCATAGAGAAGAGCCCGTAGCAGGGCCGATGGAAGAGCTATGAGAAATATGTGTCAGCAAGGAAGATCCAACTCGCGTATTGAAAATTGGCAGCAGCCTAAGCAAAGAAATGGTTGACAATTTGGCGAGGTTTTTAAAGAAAAACCTCGACGTGTTCACATAGGCGCATGTAGATATGGTGGGGATCAGCCCCGAGGTAATGTGTCACAAGCTGAACATCGACCCAAAAGCTTGGCCAATAAGACAAAAAAGAAGGTCTATGGATGCAGAGTGCTCTAAAACGCTCAAGGATAAAGTTGACAAACTCCTAAACATCAACTTCATCAGGGAAGTGAAGTACCTGGATTGGCTTGCCAACCTATTCCCAGTTAAGAAGTCGAATGGCAAGTGGCGGACTTGCGTTGACTTCATATATTTGAATAAAGCCTGTCCAAAAGACAACTTTTCACTACCACAAATCGACCAACTAGTAGATGCGACAGTTGAAAACGCATTATTTAGCTTTATGGATGCATGCTCGGGATATAACCAAATCCCGATGTATTAGCCAGATGAAAAGCATACCTTCTTTATTACTAACCGTGAGATTTATTGTTACAGATTTATGCCGTTTGGCCTAAAAAACACTGGGGCAACCTACTAGCGTTTGGTGAACAAGATGTTCGCCAACCAAATTGGCAAGACTATGAAGGTATGCATCGACGACATGCTTTTCAAATCGAAGGTTACCGAAAGCCACGTTGAGCATCTGGGGGAAATGTTTGACATCCTTAGAAAATACAAAATGAAGCTCAACCCCCTAAAATGTGCTTTCGGAGTAAGCTCGGGAAAATTCTTAGGGTTCTTTGTAAATCAACGAGGTGTTGAAGCCAACCCAGAGAAGATTCATACTCTATTGGATATGAAAAGCCTGACCAGCATAAGGCAGGTATAGAGCTTAACAGGATGT